TTAACGGCATGGAAAACGGTTTAAGCCTCGTAGTAGTACACCATGGAATATCCGTAGTAATAGCGGTATCTGTAGTTATAATAGTAGCCTCTCTTATAATAATAGCGACGGCCTCGCGTTTATCCGTAGTAATAGCGGTAGCGTAGTCTATTTCTGCAGTAATAGAAGTATCTATAGTAATAGCAGTATCTGTAATAATAACGGTAGCCTCTCTTATAGTAATAGCGATAGCCTTACCTTTATCCGTAGTAATAGCGGTAGCGTTAGAGTCTTCCGACTTAAGTTCTAATACGTCTACGGCTATACCCCTTAATAGCAGCCTGTTCGCCGTCGCTATATCATTAGATTAAGTGATACGGATATATCATAGGCGCTCCCTAATTTCCTCGACGGAAGCTATAGCTTATGGCCTTTTAATCTTACTGTTAAAGGACTTATCTTCGTTAAATATCACGTCTCGTATAGTGATAATTTCTATTAGGTATAGCACCTATACGCGGAAGCTATTCAAGGAGCACTATGTAATATTATAACCGATCTATATCTTCGGTTCTAGCCTATATAGGCGGTTCCTTTTAGCTTAGGCATCGTGCGCTTTTATCAAGGCTTTATAGCCGTATACTTATAGGTGCCTAAGGTTAGGTTAACGGCCACGCAGGCCTACATAGCGTCTTCTACTCGTTAATATATCGTGGGGTTTTATTATATAGATATATAGTAGTCTTAAAAATCTTAGGCTAGATAGACGTAGGCAGATTAGCCCCTGTCCTTATCGCCCTCGCCCTTCTTTTAACGATACCTTTAATCTATTCTATAACATCGTTTTAATTCTATAAGTATAATACTAACGGCTAGCCTTCTCCCCTCTTAGTAGCAAGGAACGCAATGACTTCCAGGTGCTAAGATATCTTAGAATCGGCCTATAGGATATATAGCCTAATTCGAATCAAGTCTTAAGCAGGACAAAAACGTCTTTTAACGTATAAAAGATAGAGCCTTAATCTCTTTTCTATAGGTAGTAATCCCACGTATAACCTATAAACATATCTATAATAAATACAATAGACTTATATAGGCCGCCTAATAATTCCGACTCTTCTAGATCGTGAAACTTAATAGCCAGGGCCTTTCTAGGCTTTAACGGGTAAAAGGATAGTATCCGCCGGATCTATATAGTCATTTACGATTACCTATACGCGTTATAGTCGGCGGTACGCGGTTCTTTTATTCTTACTCTCTAAGTAGTTTTAACGATCCTTATAAGGGTATCTATATCGTAGTAGCCAAGGCATTTAAACTACCTTTATACTATAGTCTTCTGCGGTTACCGCGGCTATTATAATCTTCTATACGTATCGTCGCGTGGATACCGTGCCGAAGCCGTAAACGGGGTAGTGGTACCTTCCGTGTATTCGATTATATACTAGCCGTCGATATCTAGTAGCTTATAGATAGGCGGGTTATCGGCAGAGCTAATAATAGTATCGTTTATTGTATCCTAGCGGTAGCCTTGTAGGCATAGCTAGCGTTCTAAGACAATATTAGTAATAAACTCCTTATAGTATACGGTATCGTGTAGGTGTAGTAGTCTTTTTTTACAGGATTAGGATTACACGCGTAGCTTAACATCTCCGTACCCAAGGATAGGAGCCTTATAGGTTCATACTTAGAGTAATAAAGATAAAGTATTAGTAGGTAGTCTAATAGTCGTAAAACGGCCTTAATTATTAAAGACGTGGATTCACGATCCTAAATATAGGATCGCGTAGTATAATAGTGCTTTAGCTTAGTTAATAAAGAGGGATACCCCTTATTATAATCTTAATCTTATCGTCGTATAAGGGCGCGCTACCCCCCCTTCTTACGAGGGGTAGGTACCTAGTTACCCCGTCACGGTAACGGATAGGAAAACTATAGTTACGGCCGGCTTAGTAACCCGTCGATTTTATAGTATAGTAGTTATAATAGGCGTAGTATTATAGAGTTAATCTTCCTAGACCTCCTCTATCTTACTAGTAGTGGTAGTCCGTCCCTAAGGCTTCCTGCCTTTCTATATCGCGGTATGTACACAGATTTTAAAACTATAGTTATATAGCTTCTTTTCTATAACCTTCGTAATATCTTCGCGGCCACGCTAGGTATAAGGGCGTATATCCGGCCTTATATACTAATAGGCGGCGGTAGAATAGGTATTCGTATCTATCTTATAAGACCTCCTTATCGCGGGAGGGATAGCCCTTATAGACGTGTCGCTATAAGGAGGCTTCCTATTATCTTTATTATTAGCAGTATCCTTAGTATCAGGGAGGTTCCCGAGGTTATTAAAGGTGCCTTTCGCGACTCTAGGCTTTATACCGGCGGATTATAGGTTCTTTATATTACTAAGAACCGCCCTTAAAGCCTTTACGAAGTTATTAATCGTTAGCCTATTTTCCGAAATCTTATCGTAGTTATTTACTAAGTAATTATTACTCTATTCCAAGGCGATAGGTTTGATAGCTTTTAACGTCTTTTCCGCCTAATAGTCCACGCTTAATGGCTCTAAAACACCTATATACTTATAGTATATTACCGCTATTTTCTAGCTTATAACCTACACGTCTATATCCTTAAGTATAGCCTTTATAGGCGTAGTATATCGTTAATATAGGACTAGGGCTGTTTTATAGAGGTTTATAGGGCTTAGTCCTATATACGCGTAAAGGAGAGTAATCTAGGCTTATATATTATTTACGTTATTATCCTATAGTTATATAAGGAGGTTACGTAATAGATAGTCTTTTCGATATATAAGCGTACCTTATTAAATTCCTTTTACTACGCTTCGTAGTCTGCCTTATCCTCGCGGTATACGCGGCGACCTTACAGGTCACGCGTACGCCCCTTTTCGGAGAGGTTATTAATACATATAGGCGTCCTTATAGGTGGTTCTTTCGTTACGGCCGTAGCCTTCCTATAAGCGGTTATCTTCTTCTTACCGGCGGCCGTAATAGCCGTGGTAGCCGTAGTAGCCGTGGCGGCGGCGTCGTCGATAGTATCGGTAGCCTTATCGCCCTCTAGCGTGATAGTAGAAGATATAGTGGCCGTGGTCTCCTCCGCCGCGTCTAGGTCCACGATAAAGGCTTCGTATTTACGAATATTATAGAGTATAGGCTTAAGAAGCAGGTAGGCGTTAGCCTCCTTATCGTTTAGCTTTAGATTAAGATAATTATCTTAGTAGGAGGTAGATTTACCGTGTACAGCATGCTGCTATATCACCTAATCCCTTTAGTTAACGAGGGTAGTAGTGGCCGCTTTCTAATCGGCCTTAAATATATTAGAAGATATCTTTATTAGTTTATCAGTTAATTAATTAGTTAATAGGTAAATCTGTAAGTTAATTAATCGCTTAATTACTCTAATTAGGTTAATAGTAGTTATTTAAAGAGTATTTATAACACGTGATTACTTTTATAGTAGAATAGGGGTAGCGTTATTAATATCTATCGTTTAGGCGTTATAAACAGGCTTATAACTATGGTATATTAAAATAGCACTTATATAATTATCTTAATAGAGTAGAAATCTCGTGTATATATATTATATTAAGTTATATCTATATAAGTCTTTTATACCCTTAATTTAGGTTATAAAGACTCTATTATAAGTACTATATTATTTGGATCCTATCTGGTCTTTTCCGGTATCCTCCCTTATTATATCCGGATACCCGAGGTCCCCGAGATCCGAAGCCCTTAGTTAGGAATGGATTCTATAGGGACTATGTTATGGTCCGTGTGCCTATACGATAATAGTTAGCTAATAGCCTGGAAACGATTCAGAAACGATTAAGAAACGATTTGGAATCAATTCTAAATCGGTTCTAGCTATAATATAGAAATATACCTGATAATAATGGATAATGAAAAAAAAATGGTGGGAATTGGTTAAATTGTGATATGGGAAGAAGATAGTGATAGTCTAAAAATATGATCTGTGAAAAAAAAGAAGTAGTGATATTAGGAAGAAGGTATAAAGCTATAAAAGAGGGGAAGAATACGTTAACGTGTTACGTCACGACTCGTGAAGAGAGGCGAAACGTTCTAGCTAATTAGAGGATAGACCTATAGTAACCCTTAGCTTAACTTTTCGCCCCACCTATACCCACACCAACCCTTAGCTTAGCCATAGTCTTCAATGTCAGTTTATCTGTAGTCAACAACCCACTTCAACAATTGAAACCATTAACATGCAAACGCCACTGGGGAGGCCTGTGCAAAGCCCGCACTGAGAAGCGCTTCTAGGCTTACATCTTTGGCAATCTGCCCAATAAATAACCTTGGACGATCTTGTAGACCTTCTTATCATAGGGGTGCCTGCCCGCGGTTTGCGGGGTTAGCATCGATCGCGGTAACCAGCAAGACTATCGAAAGTCTCGGAACTTTATGTTGACAGAATTATATCTGTCCCGTCCTTGATCTTGTCATAAAGTTCTCTGTTCTGACCTGTAAATCCCCGCCCCAGGGCACCCCGTGCAAGTTTTCAGAAGACATTTGCGGAGAGACCCAGGTTTTGGGCCCAGTTTTACGGCTAAAGTAGTTTAAGAATTTACTGTTCGTGAGCGCATATTAAAAAGGGCTTTGGTTCTCTGAGCTGCATAGCAAAACGGGGAAGCCAGGCGAACTATCTTCACAGCAAGGCTATTCCCACGAGCCCTTGGATCTATGGTAGCATGAATAGGTACAGCCACAGGAGAGTTTTGATGAACCAGTTTGCGCCTGGTCAACCGACTCCTTCAATATTTTCTGCCAGGAAAAAAAAAATTCAGCATGCCGATGGAGGCCGAATTCTTGCAGGTATCTCTCCAGGTGTGCCTTCCGAAACCCGAGTACATTCAACTTGGATTACCCCAGACGTCATCCGAAATCCAGAGATGGACTTCAGTTGGTGCCACTGACAGCTAATCTACACGTCGTTGTCAGCCTAGGCTGATGCCAAAGTTAGCACCACGTTCGAATAACTTACTTCATGAGATGGTCCATGAAAGTTTGCAAAGAGACGTCATCGGTAAAAATAGTCTGCGCTGATTGAGCGCCTACGCCTCCATACGCTCCCGAGGTGTGTGTTGTCGAGGGATTCAGTTTTGATAGGAGAAAGCGTGCTTGGGATCCGCCTGCATCGCAGAGGATGAATCGCGGCAGAGGGAAGCGATCAGTAATGAGGTCCTTATAAAAAAACGTCAGCAGACTTATTCAACTCGAAGTGGGTTTTTTTTTCGCTTTCATTCTTACCCTGGCATCTTCCTTCGGCTGTTCCAAAAGCGCGGCAAAGTTCTCGTAGCCTTCTTGCTCATGGTAACCAGCCTTGCGCCACTCTGCCACAGTCTCGCCGTGGAAGATAAGAATGTGGAAGAAGGTATCTAGTAGCAGGATATGTGTCGGCTGTATGGACGTTGAATCAAGGAGTACAGGCTGTCCCCCTTCCTGGTCAAAGGTGTAGGAGTCCAGAGTGGGCTGGATCATGATGAGCGAGTTGCTGACATCCTCGTGATTCAGGACGTGACGATAGAATGCCGTCTCATCTGGTGAGTTGTTGAAGACTTGCAAGAACTGGCTTCTCCGCAAATGGAACATGAACTGTGGATATAGGGTGAAGTTCTTTTCCAATCGGAAAGAAGAAGGGTCATCTTTGCGATAGTCAGCGAATCGCGAACAGAGTCTAATTAGCATCCGATCAACCCAACGAAGGACGTCGGGGCCATCGTCGACTTCAGATTTGAAAACGGCGATCCGCGACATGAGGACTGCCGCTGCCTCCTGATCAAACGACTGGGCGATGGCGGGGTCTCCAGCAGGGCCGCTCAGATTTCTGGCTAGAGTTGTGACACGAAGGTGAAATTGGCCCGAGGAGTGCTGATAATATGTCAGGAACTGAATCATGCCTTTTTGCGCTGCCTGCTGATGTTGCGTGGGGCCACCCTGGCTAGCGATTTCGAAATAGACGCCGTAGCTTGAGGTCGGGTCAATACCACACATTTTCCAGGAGCAAGTGTTTCCAATGCCACACTCCGTCTCGCCAACTGAGGTTGATTTCTTGTTGAGGGACACGGCATGGCCAATGAGACCTGTGACTTTAAGTTCCTTGGTGGTCAACACTTCCAAGACAGCATTAAACCCCATGAGGAGGTGATCATCACCATCTTTATCGAAGACGCGGGTGAACGACTGTCTGAACATGGAAGAAGTAAAGCTGTCGGTAAGAATCATATGACCACCAGTCGAATTGCAAAGTCCTTTCATCTCCAGGAGGCCAACTTGATCAAGACACCCGGCGAATATGTCAATTACGTGACCGTTATGGGCAGTTCTTTTTGCCAGATTGTCATAGAACTGGGGAGAAGAAGCAAACCTGTTAGTGGCCTTTTGAGACAATAGATTTGTTGACGCACCTTTAACGCCTTCTTGTAGTACTTGACGTTGTCTCGGTCAATGTCGTGGTGTGACCGTATGGGTTCTCTCAGTTCAGGTCCCACAACCATCCCCGGGCCCTCGGTTGCTGGGCCGCCAGCAAAGACCATGATTCGGCCACCAGCGTTCTGGAAGGACGTTTCCAGGAGTCCGACGGCAACACTTAGAGCGACGCCACTGCATCGCAGGTTTCTGCGATCATTGGCAACTGGCCAGGGATCCTTTTGGAGTTGTTCCAATGCCTTTGTTAATTGGAACTCGCACTGTTGAACCGGAAGAAGGAATCTCGAAGTGGGACCCATCAGGGGCGAAGGCCGGCCTTGCTGCTGCATGCCCGGCCGCATAAGCGGAGACAAGAGGCCGAGCATCTCTTGGACCTGCTTCGCATTATACTCCTTGCTCCCTCGGAAGACGTATGATTTTGCACACTCTGTATAGCCAATCTCGTGTACCTGGACCTGTAAAACTGTCAGTCTCCTATCCCTGGTGAATATATCTCCTGAGACGGACCATAGTGCCGAATGTAATCAATCCAACAAGGGCATTCTCCGGCAATAGACTTAGACTCATGACAAGAGACTCCCTTAAAGCTGCGAGACTGTCTTCCTCCTGGCAGGTGTCGACGACGTAGAGGAAGATGGGGGAACTTGGTGCAGGTCGAGATAGCCGGTATTCAATTGTGGTATTGGATGGATGGAGTTCAGGAGGTATGGCGTTCTGGGTGATGTCCTTGTAATGAGGCGGAAGCGGATTTCTTGACAGACAAAATGGACATATCCAGAGACGGGCGCGAACGTCGACGGAGCTGCATGTCGCAGGTAAATCAGTTCTGAACGTACGAAGTGCAGTATAACGGACATACCAGAACGGATTAAGGACGGATCGGCAGGGCTGCTTGCAAGTCACTGGCTCAAACTGAAGTAACGGCGTCTCCGGTTTCTCCTTCAGAGGTGTGTAGAGTGCACCAATGGGAACAACAAGCCTTGAGGCTTCCTAAAACAAAAGTCAGCCTTGAATACAGTCTAGACAGGTTGACGGATTTAGAACCATACCATCCGAGTGCTCGGGAAGACATTCCAACTCAACCTAACCCCGTCACGGTCCTCTACCTCAGTCCACTGTTCTTTCAGCGCCTCGTAATCCATTCTGCCGCGTCGTCCAGGGTAATGGATGCGAATGTCAAATGTTTTCGCAGCAGCTGACCGAAAACACGGATATGGAAATGAGGGAATTGTCTGTGCCAGGGGACTGTAGGTGAAGCTGTAGACGAAATGATGCGGCGAGTCCTTCGTTGCAATGTGCAGAGTATTAAAGTCAAGTTGTTGCTGTTGTTGTTGGGGGGCCGGGGGGGGAGATTGCTGGTGCGTGGAAATGGTTAAGGACAACAAAGCCAGGTTAGATACGACGTAACCCAGCCTTCCTAGTAGCAGGGACACGATGATATAAGTGGATCCCATTAGCGATCATTTTACTGCAGTAAGGGTGTCAGCACACAAATAAAGGTACGCAAAAGATGTGTGTATACATTGAAGCAGAGTCCAAGGTACTCTACGGGAATATCTAACTATAGGGAAGACGTAGGGGAAATAAGTGTGGATGTATAAGAACGAGGTACTTTATACGTCTAATATAATATAGTACCTATAGATAGAGTGTATACTACCTAAATAAAGGGATAAGAGACTCTAATAGATATAACTTAGTATAATATAGATATATAAGGTTTCTACTCTATTAGGGCTACAATATACGTGCTATTTAACGTGCGATAGTTATAAGCCCGGTTTATAACGTCTAAATAATAGATATTAATAAGGCTACCCTATTCAACTATAAAAGCAATTATGTTTTAAGCACTCCAAAAATAACTACTATTAATCTAATTAGAGTAATTAAGCGATTAATTAACGTACCTACCTTAAGTACACGATTAAGGACGCCTATTAACTACGGGCGCGTAATAAGAGTAAAATCGATAAAACTATAAAGATAGAGATTATAACTACCGCCTCTCTCCCGGAATAGTATTAAAGCGGCACTATAATACCGGTGCTACGGTATAACCGGAAGAATCGATAAATAGCGTTATCCTGACCTTAACTATATAGAATTTATAATAGACCCACTTTTTGTAATATAGGCGCTCTCCCCTCCCCCTCCGAGGTAGGACGCCGCGCGGAACCGATAGAAGACAGAAAGGGGACTGCTAAGCCCCCTAGAACCGAGAGTAGCTAAGATTAAGGCCGAAATTTAGGCCTTATTAGCTAATAGAAATATAATTAAGTAGGTTATAGAGCTAGTAAAGGAACTAATCACGATATATACCCGTAACGCTACCGGTATAATGCTATTAGTATACCTATACGCCTTTATCCGCTAAGTTATCCGGGAGGAACTCCGAAAGGGTATCAGCGGTACTAAGAAGACTTAGGCCGATATCACCGCCTAGGCTCCTGTAACGGTACTACCGCGCGACCCCGCCCTCCCTAAAATAATCCCCGCTAAGTATTATTAAGAACTAATTATCCGCTAAGGAACCCTCCCCGAAGACTAGCCCCTTAGAACCAGGAACTTAAAAGAAATTATCTAAGCTATAAAGACTACGATTATCCGATAAAATACCGTAATAGTATAAAAGCTACCTAGCAGAGATATTTACCTTACTTTGACTAAAGGGGTATAATAATAGGCTACCTATAAGGAGTAGTAGATTAAGAAGGCCTATCGTAAAGGAGTTACCCTAGCTATACAAACTTACCCTATAGTACTTAAGGCTATGGCCGAGGTTCTAAACGCCCTATCCGATAAGTACCTACTAGTATCCTTATAAGAGACAAACCCCGAGGCTAAAATCCTCTAAGTATAATAGCGAGTACCCCGCTAAGGTACTAGTAGGATTATGCTTCTCCTGCTTAAATGGGCCTCCACGGAAAGAGTAGTAAGCTTTATCCGGAATACCCTCCTCTTTAAGTAGGGTAGCTATATCTATAAACTATACGATTCTAACCTTAGCCCTCTGAAGTACTACAAGCACGTATATTTCAGTTATAATGCTAGCAGCTATACTATAATAGAGAGGCTATACCCTGACTATACTAAGCTAGAATCGGTATACCCGTAAGGCCTAGGGTATTATAACGTAGCGGTGCCGGAGCGCCCCTACCGCTACGCCGCTTATACCAGGAACTATAACACCTTTAATAACTTCTACCGATTACTAAAGAAAAAGGCTAAGAAAACCCGGGAGGCGTATAAGTATAGAGCTAAAAACTATAATATTACCCGTTAAACCAAAACGGTATACCTATAGTAGCCGTAAATTCTTTCCTAGATTAATATCCCCTAAGACTAAGACTAACCCCTTTAAAGGGGTAATATCAAGGAATAGGCTATATTACCAGAGAAAAGATACACCGCAACGGATAATACTGTCATAACTTCATAGTCGTATATTATAAAGACTTTAACTTAAGGAGGAACAGGACGACTTTGCCCCTCTCCACTAATATAGTAATTTAGTCTCGCCGAGGACTCAGCGATCTAAGCCTATTTCTAATCCTATATAATACTAATCTATAATACTATTTAGTTCCTTATACTACCCCTCTCTAACAGGACTAGTCTCTTAAGCCTAGTCTATCCCCGCCTACTAGGCAGAACGTGTATATAACTCTAGCCTTATACGAACTCCGTTATCTAGTCGGCGCTTATAATTAGTCAGTATTAGTAAGGCTATGTACCTCCTTCTAAAATATAACGACTTCTTTCTACGTATTATTAGGTAATCGGTAAACCGTTAATGGTAATTATATAGTCTACTCGCTTACTAATTACTATTTCTTTTCTAGCGTCCCGTGTAATAGCAGGCGATTACTCGCCGCGTTTTATAATATCACGCTTATCGCTATACCTTCCTTTATTATTATAGTATATAGTATTACTAAATTAGCTCTTACCGTTCTTTATACTTACTCTCTTTTTAGCCGGATTTATAACTTAAGCGACCGCTTATCGCGTAGATAAATCTTCCTTATTCCCTCTTATAGTTAATTTCTTTTCTTCCTTCCTTTCACATAATCTTTACTTTTTACATTACGTTTTTTACTTCACTATATATTTATATTTATATCTATATTATAGCCGAATAGTCCCCGTTATTCCTATCTTATTTTCTAATATCGACTAGCCGCTAATATATCTCTTCTACTCGGCGTTACCTAAAAGCTACGCCGTATACCTTATAATACTAGCGATAGGTGGCTAGGGAGATACTCTAACGATCCGCCTTATAGTCGTTGTATAGCTTCCCTGGCTACCGATAGTTATATAGATTATATAAACTAATTCAACTCTAATATATATAGGTATATCGTTTATCTTCGCTCGTACTAGGCGTATATATCTATAAGCTTATTCTTACCCTCGCCGAATATTTGGCTCCTAACGTGTTGTTTAGATCCCGGACAGTCTACTAGGTATTACCTAGACTAGTTAGAATATTATTACTAGCGTCCTCTAGAAGGAGAGTAATAAAAAGCTAATACTGATTAATCGGCGCCGTTTTTATCTACAGCTTTAGGTCGTATATGTAAAGCTTTGGATAAAGCCGTTTATCCTCCCGCCGGCCGTAACTAGCGCGGTATGAATATATTATGTCCTGTCCAGGTATATCTCTGGCTAGCCAGTATCGGGCCTAGGGCTTCTAGGGTTTGGAATAGCGACCTTTAGATATAGAAAATAGGGTGTAATAAAGATATCTTCTACTAAACTAAGGGGATACCACGCCGGGGATATATCCCTTAGCTGGTTCGGCCTAACTATAATCCGTACTATCTATACTAACTATAGTCCGGGCGCTATACGTTCCTTATCCACGCGAATAATACCCGCGCTATCTATTCTATAGTAGGGCGGATAGTCCTAGCGCTAATCCTACGGAGGCTAGGTAATAGGGCGTATTATATACCCCGGGCGATAAAAGCCCTATATCCCGTGGGCGTCCTCCGTCACGGTGTAGAACCGGGCGCTTAGACTATAATATGCTATTATAGAATAGTTACCGGATAGTTACTTACTTAGTAACTATAGGCGCGGGATAGTGGTTATAATACGAAGGAAATAGTGGATAGCGTCATATAATATATTACGCCGATTAGGCGCTATTACTACTCTGTATAGGTAGTGCGAGGAAAGAGAAAAATAAAAAGGAAATAAACGACCGAGTAGTAAGTAGATAAGAAGTAATTAGGGGAGCGATTATATAGAAAAAAGAGAAAAGTAAATATAAACTTAGCTATATATCCTTTCCTTATACGCCTAATTATATTTATACGCGTATCCTATATACCTTCGCCCCGATACCTAAGCCCTATACTATACTAAAAAAAGACATACTATATCCCGCACTTCTAAATAAATAAATCCTTTATATTAAAACACGCCTATAGCGCGCTAACGCTATACTATAGTGGATAGGATATTTCGATTATAACGATTTCTAGCAGAACGGGGTTACTATCATCCCTAGACCGTGGTCTTAAGTTTAAGGATAGTAGCGATCTCCTTATCCTTAATATAGGCCGCTTACTCGATAATAATCGCCTCGGAGATATTATGGGAGACTAGGATACCCTTTTTACCGTGCGAGTCGTAATAACACGCGATAACTACTCTACACTTAAGAATAGTCTCCGCAAGTATCGGGTTATCTTAGAGGCGTTTAGCTAGCGTCTCTCTCTTTTTATCCTCTAGGGTACTAAAGATATTTAGCGTAGCGAGGTGGATATACTTCTTTATACGCTAGTATAAGACTAATTACTATAGGTCGACCGCGTTCTATAGCTTATCCTTAATCATAAACTCTATAATAAACCCTATAGCCTAGACCGCGACTAATAGCAGGAGTATAGTAGCGTAGTCGTATTACTTAACTTTATTAAAAGTCTAATCGCCGAATTTAAAGTCCCTAAGGTAAACTAGGGCAGAGGCCTTATATAGACGCTTAGCTAGACCCTTAGTTGTCTGCCTTTATAATACCTCCTCCCCGGAGCGGGTAAATAGTCTTTTCGCTAGGGGGGAAGCGGTATAGCCCTAATAAGGGCAATTAGTGCCCGTGGTAAGCGAGGGTATAGCTAGTATAGTAAAT